TGCCTTCTTTCCTCATTGTGTCCTAGATATTTTAATTGTCTCTTTCTGAGGCTTATTATAAGTCCTTTTTGTTTCCATTTTTACTAAAACGTCACTGCTCAGCTTTTCAGCCCATGGTATTCTTACGAACATTCTGTATGACCACATTGTCCAGCATTCATTGCTATATAGTAAAAATAATATTACGTAAGAGTTTAGTCCCTTTTTCTTTGTTTCTAACGAAATTTTCCTGTTTCTTAATACTTTGCTTAGCTTTTCGAAAGCATAATTTTTTATTCCAATGCGCCTTCACTTTATGTTTTCTTTTAAAAGATTTTAAATAGTTGCATTTCCTTGATTTTTTATCTCTCATTTGTAATTTGAATGTTGGGCTGCCACTTTTGCTGACAACCGTTAATTCTATTTAGCCCTTTCTTCAAGATTTCTTTCATTAACTTTTGTCTGATTTCTTGTACAATCCTTTCTGTGTCTTCTCGGTTAAGCTCTTTAAATTGAACAATAGCGATGGATTTCCTTCTGATAAGTAATGGCAAAGATTACAAATGCTACTCTCAAATAAAATTCCAGTCCTGAGGCAAACGATAATACATTGTTGTAATAAAATTTCTTACAGTCGAAACATCAGTATCAGGATGTAATAACAATTGTACTCAGGTGTAGGCTTTAAGAAAGATTTATTCAACTGAAAATACAAGGTTCGCGTATAGTGGCCTTTTTATAGTCCCAATAAACAGAAATAGCTCTCTCAAAGAGGAGAGTAATAAGAAAGGGGAGATCACTCTTGATAATTCGTAACACAGGGTTCATTTCCGTGCAGGTGGCATAATGATTATCGCCGGGGTAAATGGAATAGCTGAGCTAGTTTATAATTCTGGTTTTGTCTGTTTAGGTCACTTTCGTACATATACCCTTCTAAAAGGCATGAATCCATCTTTTCGTCATCTAGCTGTAGCTTAAATAGCACAATAGACTAGGTTATAATATTAAACTGCAACTCGTCTACAAGATAGACAACACTGAATTAAAAACATTAGAGTAAGAAAAGGAAAACCACAGCACTATATTTCCAAAGAAATCATGGCAATTCCCAGATGATAAAGAAAGGAAACGTTGTGGAGTGGGGCTATGACTGCCTACGTCATGACGTAACATAGCATTTATAAAATAAGTAATTGAATATCTCTAAGAAAGAATGCAATCCTAGATTATATTTTAAAATTCTTTAACAGTCTTCATATCGAGCTCCTAGTTACGCCATGACAGTTGCAGTTTTCCTATAGACAAGGTATCAATAAAATACGAAGATAGTAAGGAAAGTCCTGTGCAAAGAGAAACGACAATCGTCTCATTGCATTCACTTGCTCCTTGTATTCTGTCAAGCCATTCGATGGAACACTCTTTCATTTTACATACGCATTAGATTAACTACAAAAATCATCCCATGATAATTTTGGGGTTGGCTTCAAAGTTTTGAAATGTAGTATATATATATATATATATATATATATATATATATATATATGCCAAAGTGTAGGAGAATGAACAGTAAGATAACAGCGTTCAGAACATTAATTTAAAAACAGGTAGAACCGTAAATCTTATGCAGTGTTATATTAGAACATGCACATATCAGCTAAAAAGTTGTACATTTTTGTTTCAGCGTCCAAAAAACAGGAAAACCTTTATTAAACGCCTCATCAGGTGGAAAATCACGGTATTCCACTATGTTACGAGTAACATCGTGATTTGCCACCTGATGAGACGTTTAAAAAAAATTTTCTTTATTTTGAAGAAACAAAATGTACAAATTTGTAGTTCATATATGCATGTTCGAAAATAACACTGCATAAGATATATATATATATATATATATATATATATATATATATATATATATATATATAACCCGGATATAAGAGAGTTGTCGAGACCAGAGAAGAAGTCTCTTATATCCGGATTTGGTCTATTTTATATACATTAACACAGGCTCTAATTTGGGACCAGAGAAAATCTCTCTTATATCCGGGTTTCTCTTACATTCAAATTCTCTTATATCCGGGTTACACTGTATACACCCCTGGGCTAAATTTCATGAGTTTTTCATTACTAAAATATTTGATATCGCGAGGAGCGAAATAGCCCCAAACATGGGATACAATTGAGTTTAATTTTTATGCAATTCATTTCTCTGCACTATAATATATATATATATATATATATATATATATATATATATATATATATATATATATATATATAAAAAAAACTACTTTAGGTTCCATGTAATAAATTATTTCATATCAGCCCTTTTAAAGGACTGCGGATCATCAGACTTTACTTCCAAAGGTTGAAACAATATATTTTTTTTTGTTTCAACGTTTGGAAGTAAAGTCTGATGATCCGCAGTCCTTTTAAAAGGGCTGTGGTGAAATAATTTATTACATGGAACCTTAAAGTAGTCTGTTTTATTTAAATTATTTGCTCTGGATTTACATTGAGCTCTCTGGATTTTATCCTCCTTAGGTTTTACCTATACGAATTACCTAGTTTTTCATAAACTAACTAACTAACTATATATATATATATATATATATATATATATATATATATATATGTGTGTGTGTGTGTGTGTGTGTGTGTGTGTGTGTGTGTTATTTCTATAGTGGATTAGTGTATCAGTTATTAATTTATATTAATTGGATTCACTTGAATTACTTATAGGAATTTTTATCACACACACACACACACACACACACACACACACACACATACACATATATATATATATATATATATATATATATATATATATTCTGAGATATAGATAGATAGATAGATAGATATATAGATAGATAGATAGATAGATAGATAGATAGATATGCCGAAACTGAAGTAAATTTTGATAGGGATATAGGCGTTTACAATGGTAGGGTGAAAGGAAACTCTAGGGACTTCTAGAAAACGTACTAAAGGAGAAGAGAGATGGAAGAACTAACCGTCAGTTGTAAGAAGACAAAGTAAATGGTTACCAGAAAGAGAAAGAGTCGGTGATGCGAGCTATGAACTGGAGAGGCGAAATAGATGCGTTTCTACAGAAGGATTCTGAGAATACCATGGAGAGATCATGGGTATAACGAGGAAGTTCTAATGAAAATAGAAGCAAAAACGTTGATTCAGAGACAGTTCAAATCTCTAGAAAAAAAGTGAATCATGCACGGGCAACGCCGGGCCATGCAACTAGTATTATCTATGCGTGGTACTTATTGGAAAGCGCTCAATATCAATGATAGAGCTAACATATTTAGTTGGATTGGTGTGAATTTGTGATCCTGGGTTCAGTCCCACGCTCTTCGCATATGTTTATGTTTGTGTGAGCTCCGATGAGTGAGCGTGCATGTATGCATGTCTGCGTATGTCAATGAGTGAGCGTGCGTGTGTGTATCTCTGCGTACGCATAAGTGGAGTCCCGACGACAATCTGTCCTCCCACTACCATAAATACACCGATATACGCAACCGTATATAAATCCAAAATTTTAAAATTAATTAGTTATTCAGACGATCGCAAATAGCGTGAAACCCAGGGTCACAAACTCACACTAATCCAACTATATATATATATATATACATATATATATATATATATATATAAACAATAAAATCCAAAATCACCTCATGTGGAAAATAGCCTATTGAATTTGTGGTTGGCAAGACAAATTTTATTGTTTATTAATTTTAATATTTGTCGTTTTACAAGTCTGGTAATAAAAATACACTGAGATATTTTTTTTGTGGATCATTTTAAAAATATGATATTACTAGGAGCCATTTGGATTATATACCAACGGATTTGTTACAATTACTATATATATATATATATATATATATATATATATATATATATATATATATGTAAATAGATAGATAGATAGATAAAATATCCAGTATCTATCTATCTATCTATCTATCTATCTATCTATATATATATATATATATATATATATATATATATATATATATATATTGTTTGTATTTAGGCAGCATCTTTTCATTCATACACGTTTCATTAAATAATATAGACAAGTGTTGTCTATCTATTTTATGTAAATTTTTTTCGTAACGTCTAATAAGTCTACAAATATTGTTAAATATCTATAATTGGTAACAGAAGCCATTGGTTTATACCAACGGCTTTCCATACTTCATATTTCTCCAATTCACTCTCGCGTGTTCATGTGTGACGTCATGAGATGCGGTGCGATTTTCGCTTCTAGCGTATTATATGCACGTGTTTATCGTTGCTTAGAAATCATCTATGTAAACAATGACAGACTATATAATATAGTATATTGCATAATATGTTGTAAATGACATTCTTGATAACGGCTTATGTAAGCCGAAAGCTTAGATTGTATTAAAAAAATATGGATCAATATTGTAAATTTCTTTCTTCGTTCAACGTTCAATGTTATTAAACTTATTAGACGTTACGAAAAAAAATTACATAAAATAAATAGAAAACACTTGTCTATATTATTTAATGAAACGTGTGGGTATATATATATATATATATATATATATATGGGATAACGATATATACATTTTTATATATCAAGAGCAGTTTTGGTGGAAATATGTATGGTAAAGTGGAAAAAGTTTTCGAGTGACGTGTTTTTTTGTCTCTTAGGACTTCATCAGATCAGGTTTGTTTACGCTGAATTGACTGCACATGCGTACAAACCCTGGGAGTTTTACATTTAGAAACCAAAAATATAGATAGATAGATAGATAGATAGATAGATAGATAGATAGATAGATAGATAGATAGATACTGAAACGATGTGGCGTATGGTGTGGAAGAAAGATCCAGAGATGCATGCTTAGGTGTGATTCGTGTTTCTATATCTGTCTTTGTATATATCTTTATAGATATGTATGTGTGTGCATACATGTTTACGTGTTCGTATGAGTGTGCTTGCTGGCCGTGACATGTACGTTAAAATGTTGAATTCTTCCCAGCGCATTGGTGTCAGCAATTTCACTACTTCTTTACTTTTCCCGGGCGCAATCTCTTTATTATATATAAGGAAGCAATTAGACAGAATCGCTTCATTAATTAATCCACAATCTACGCACGTCCTTAATCCAAATGACTCACGACTAGATTCAATTTAGAGAATTACGAATTCCGGTTGGGAATTATGAAAGTCCGAATTGAAAGGAGGCGGCGGCGGTGGCGGAGAAAGGAGTCAAGAGTGGGTGGGAAGCAGTTTGTGAGGAAGGGAGACGAGCTAGATCGGGAAAAATAGCGGTCGAGGCAAAAAGATTAAAAAGAAATAACGAATTAAGAGATAGAAAAAGAAGCTGGTGATTCTGAAATTAAAACTGAAGGCAAATAAAGCTTCAGTAATGTAATAACGCTATAATAAATAATAATAATAATAATAAATAATAATAATAATAATAATAATAATAATAGTACAGATTATTATTATAATTATTATTATTATTATTGAATGGGTGAACATGGAGTAAAAAGAGAAAATGTATTAAGACTGGAAAAACGACAAATGAAGCGAAGAATGGAAATTCAAAGATAATTGAACAATTACAGTATTAAAAAGCATAGCGTACTAAATAAAGCAAAAAAACTGATCAAAATCAGTGCAAAATAACGCAGAAAAATTCAAAACAATCTTTGCATCATATAAAAAGAAATTCTAATTCAACCATAACAAAATGAACAATTCGTCAACATACAGGGGCTTTGTGCAAAAGTAGGTATACAGTTATGAAAAACAAAACGTGCACGCAAAACGTATTCTATTGATTATACAAACATATCAGTTATGTGCCATGCGTGATGTACTTAGCATGTAAATTTGGGGACTTGTATTGGGTGAACTTGAGGCAACAAAAATGTGGTTCTACAGAAGAATGCACATAGGTTGCCATTTCTTTCTGCGGTAGACCCGTTGCCATCCAAGACTATAGAATCTGATATTTATTCATAGCTGGGGGAGAAGAGCAGTCATACCTTTTTCAAGCGTATTAAGAAGATGTTATGGTTTCAAATGGAATTCAAACTCGGCTCTCCGATTCCTCAATCCAAGAGGTTATCCATTACTCCACCGTGTTTCCGTCACTTCACCGTGTCAATACTGGTTTAATATCCCCTTGTATATCTGCTTTTGCAGTCCCCTGTAGACAACGTTTCGCTTTGACAACAGCAGCAATAGCATCAACGACAACAATGACGAATGTAATCCTATTTAAACCCGTAATAACCCGATTATATCAGAGTTGCTTGCCTTAATTCCTGACCATTGACAGTACCTTTCCGTGATTTTTTTTTCTTTTTGCCAGTTTCCGACATAGACTCCGAAGCTTGCGCAAACTAATCATAGATCGGCATACGCCCATATTACGTTGAAACACCGATTCCTGTACGATAACCAAAATTAAGCAACGTCGAGGCTGGTCGGTACTTAGATGGGTGACCGTTGAGGAATACCAGGTGCTGTAACTTTGGATGTGCGGGTGGTTTAATGGATAATGGTTCGGAATTGTTAATTGGAGAGCCGAATTCCCATATATTCACTTACGTGCATTTACCCTTGGGAAATGCATAAATCCACGTCTTTCACCCCCTCCCCAAGAATTATTAACAGTTGTTTTACTAAACCATTATTATGTAAAAAAATATATATATATTTCTTAAAATCTAAAAAAAAATTTTTTGGCTTTAAATAACCTGAAAAGGGTTGATAAACCGTAGAAAACGAATCAGTCATATTTCATATTCCGGTGATAATCTTCCAATATCAGCTGGATTTATTTTTACTAAATGTTTACCCAATACAAGTCTGAAGAGCCTCCAAGGTAGAGGTTTATTGAAGTTGTTGTATGGACGTTACTTATTTACTTTCCCCTCTTAATTAAATGCGGATTATGAGAATATCTCGTATAGATTAAAGATTTTAGTGACCGAGGAAGCATTCTCTCGGGAGTTAGTCCACAAAGCAATGACTTTTAGGAAATAGATGTTCAAATGGAACTTTCTTATTATCAGTGGAATATTAAGAGAATGCAGATGATTCGACCCTGTGTACTTGGCATGTAAATTTTGGCATTTGTGTTGGGTGAACATGAAGCAAGACAAGGATGCTGAGAATACCATGGACTGAACATGTGAGCAACGACCATTTTCTTTTTTTTTTTTTTGAGAAAATGGAAACAAAAAGGATACTTATGCATCCAATCAGAAAGTGACAGTTGCAATTTCTAGGGCATAATGAAGAAAGTAGCTTTGAAAAATTTGAGACTCACAGGACATATTGAAGGCAAGAGACACAGGGGAAGACAACGGATAACCAACTTACGTAAATGGATGTCAGAACAGAATTTAAAAGAGAAAGCAAAAGTGTAAAATTTACTTAGAACTATAAAGGACAGGAAATTGTGGAGAGGCATGATCACCAGCTTTATGAAAGGAGATGGCACATAGAAGAAAAAGATTGGGTGAACAGTTAATAAAAGGGAATTGTTTCACAAAGTCTATAGATTAATGCATCGTTTAAATGGTAGGCATGAGAATCAAAAAGATAGAAATACGTACGGTTTGAACTCGATAGGTTTGGTTTTACGCTTCAGTCAAAAATTTAGGTATAGATCAAGTTTAAGAGGTAGACATCGGCTCAATTCTCGCTGGACTCAAAAGGCGTCAACATAGATTCAGTTTATATCAGAGTCTGAAAATTGGACATATGTCCCATTCTTTTTTATTTTCTTTTGGTTTTTGCAAAAGCGATGGCCATAAGTTCAATGATGATCTTAGGCTTTGATTAAGTTACTAAATCCAATAATTTGTATTTGTTGTTTCTTCATTTCACTTAATAATTAATGCTGACGTCTCTCCTCGTATTCAAACAGTCTAGCAAAAAGAATTGAATTATAAATCTTTCTAGTAAAAGCCTCTCGAAGCCAGTATTGTCAACACCTGATAACTTCCTGAAGTCTGGGTTACGGTATTTAGAAGATTTAAGAACAACAATTTAAACATCTCGAAAATGTTTTAACAGTGAACAGAATGCACAACACCGAAATCCGAAGGCGCAAAGATGCATTCCAAAAGCTAAGCAGAGTATTAAGAAACAGGAAAAATTTCGTTCGAAACCAAAGAATACTGAAAAGTTATGTAATATTACTTCTTCTATATGGCAGAGGATGCTGGACCATCTCCGCACAGATGAAGAAAAAGCTTGAGGCGATAGAAATCTGGGCCTACAGAAGGATGCTGAGAATTCCATGAACTGAAGGGATGATTAGTTTTAGAGAAGATAGAAACAAAAAGACTTATAATAAACATCATAAAGAGACAATTGAAATTTCTAGGTCACATAATGATGAAAGACGGCTTGGAAAATTCGATACTCACAAGAGAGATTAAAGGCAAAAGGGATAGCAGAAAAAAGCGTATAATCTACCTAACGAGCTTGTGTAAATGGATGGTATTTATCAATTCACCCACAGGAATTGAATGTGGCACAAGGCCTTTTTAATGGATGATAGAACTATGCTTATGAGAGATAACAAATAGACAGAGTTTACGAAGAGTTACAAAGGGCAGAGGTGTGTGGAGAGCCATGATCACCAACATCCTAAAAGGACACGGCACACAGAAGAACTGTCAATGGATATTCTGTGAAATATCCAACTGGCCCGTAAACCCGATTAGTATATCTATATCTGTATAATACTAAAAGTCTGTGAATCGTACGTACGTTGGCCGTCGGATGCATAATGATTTAAGTTTCTTTCCACCTATCTCTTTCCATCTCTCTTTTCCACCTCTCTCTTTCCACCTTACTCTTTTCACCTCTTTCTTTCCACCTCCATCTTACCACCTCTCTCTTTCAACCTCCCTGTTTCTACCTCTTTCTTTCCACCTCTCTTTCAACCTCCCTGTTTCGACCTCTTTCTTTCCATCTCTCTCTTTCCACCTACCTCTTTCCCCCTCTCTCGTCCACCTTCCTCTTTTCACCTCTTTCTTTCCACCTCTATCTTACCACCTCTCTCTTTCAACTTCCCTCTTTCTTTCACTTTTTCCACCTCTCTCTTTCCACCTACCTCTTTCCACCTCTCTCGTTCACCGTCCTCTTTTTCGCCTCTTTCTTTCCTCCTCCATCTCACCACCTCTCTCTTTCATCCTCCCTCTTTCTTCCTCTTTTTCCACCTCTCCCTTTCCACCTCTCTCTTTCCATCTACCTCTTTCTACCTCTCTCGTCCACATTCCTCTGTTCACCTCTTTCTTTTCACCTCCATCTTACTACCTCTCTCTTTTAACCTCCCTCTTTCTACCTCTTTCTTTCCACCTCTCTCTTTCCACCTATCTCTTTCCAGCTCTAACTTTCTACCTCTCTCTTTCCACCTCCCTCTTTCCACCTATCTCTTTCCAGCTCTAACTTTCTACCTCTCTCTTTCCACCTCCCTCTTTCCACCTATCTCTTTCCATCTCTCTCTCTCTCTCTCTCTCTCTCCACCTCTCTCTTTCCACCTCTCTGTGATTGCGTGCGAGCATATTTATTTTTCAACTTTATTTAAACAAACAAAATTTTAAATATCTAAAAAAAATATTTTTCTATATTTAAAAAATATATTTTCAAGTGAATACGATTTATAATATTTTTTGGCATATTAAAAAATATTTTTAATTTAATTTGTTTTTAAAAAAAATATTTTAAGTGAATAAGATTTAAAATACGAGTTGTTTATAAAGTAAGTTTTTTTTATTATTTTTTATTTTTATTTCAACTTTCTTCAAACAGACAACTTTTTGAAATGTTGAAATCAACTTTCAACTTCAATGTATTATAACTTGAACCGTCAGTGACCCGTTGGGTCACGGGGCAGTCTAGTATGACATAATGGACCATATTTGTAGTTGTGGTTGCTTGGTTGTATTTCTGGTTCGGGTTAGTTGATTTTACACGCTAACAGCTTCGGTTGTGTTTCTGACGAGATCCACCAGTTTAAACTTAGAGCCCTCAATTCCATCTTCACTGAGGCGAACAATCCACATTCCCTGCGTTTTCCATTGGTAAAGACGGGGGGGGGTTCAATTCAGACGGCTTCTTTCTGAAAACCCCTACTTTATTGAAGAGACACCCAAAAGTATGATTTTTTTCCGATCCCTGCAATCTTAACCTCTTCATATCTAGCGTCAACCGTTATCTATTCTAAATATGCCCCTAATCTATAAACAAAAACAACCTCATTCCAATACTCTCTTCTTTGAGTTGCTATTGTGTCTCGCACTGGGTAAGCAACATCATTAAAAAAAAATTCCAGTGAGGAACTAACTCAGTAATCGGTAGGAATGATCAACTAGAATAACCTTGATAAACATTATATAACGCCCTTGAAGATTTCATTTCGAAATTGGGAACCCTTGAAGATTTCATTTCGAAATTGCGAACTCGAAGATTTCGTTTCGAAATTATGAACCCTTGAAGATTTCATTTCAAAATTGCGAATCCTTGAAGATTTCATTTCGAAATTGCGAATCCTTGAAGATTTCATTTCGAAATTGCGAATCCTTGAAGATTTCATTTCGAAATTGCGAACCCTTGAAGATTTCATTTCGAAATTGCGAACCCTTGAAGATTTCATTTCAAAATTACGAACCCTTGAAGATTTCATTTCGAAATTTCGAACCCTTGAAGATTTCATTTCGAAATTGCGAATCCTTGAAGATTTCATTTCGAAATTGCGAATCCTTGAAGATTTCATTTCGAAATTGCGAACCCTTGAAGATTTCGTTTCAAAATTACGAACCCTTGAAGATTTCGTTTCGAAATTGCGAACTCTTGAAGATTTAGTTTCGAAATTACGTCAATGGTAATAGTAACATTATCGGTTTTCTTATAAGGAAACATTCGGCATTCATTTGATCGTGCAGTTTGTGGAAATTAATAAAATGTTTCTCTTTAAACATTTTTTTTCATATGATTCTCAAATACAGTAGCTATTATTATGCTTTCCAGTACCGATGCCTATTTACTTATTAACCTTTTCTCTGAAGTAGTCTGGAATGTCAACTTAAAGTTTACCGAATACAACAGGCCCCTGAAGAAGAACTGTGCTTATAACGGTAGAATCGTTTTGATTATAACTGTCAAGATGAGGACATCATTTCGAAATAATCTTTACAATAATTCTTAATCCCAGACAGGGGAAAAATAAATTAAATTTTGTCATTTTTTTTATTATTATTATTTCTTTTGCGAAAGTGTTCTATTTTTTCATGGATTTCTGCAACGATATGATTTTTATCTGCCATTAATTTTATTTATTCAATTTACTTTCTACAGTTCGACGAATATGCGTCGCTTTAAATGAATGTCCACTTTTTATTTTATTATTTTCAGTCTAACTATTTCTATTTAAATTCGTGTTAGATTTCGGGACATTGATTTTTTTGTCTCATTTATTGACCATCAATAATAATTAAATGCCATAGTTCACCGACATCGTTTTCAAGGTATTAGGGAAATCTTAGAAGCGTTTTGTGACTTTTATTCAGCTCGACATTATTTGATTGGTTGTAGGGCGGATTCAAGGGTCTCGTAGACCCCACCGAATGTATATGGGCCTTCAACTCTGCTACAACATTTTTCCGAAATTCCGTCATAACATTTTAAGTGCTATTTTCTGCAAGTGGACAGTTGAAACGTTAGTTGTCAAGGTTTCTAGATGTATGTTTTTGAGACAATTTTTTTTTTATCTCTTGCCGCTTTGTGTCAACTTAAGTTTAGATCAATGACAAGGCAGCCGGCTGGTGGAGCACAGAATACAAATATCCTGTTTAACCTGTTGTAAAAAAACAAAAACAAAACAAAACAAAAACAAAAAAACAAACAAATTCACAGATTTGGCCGAATAAAAGACCCCAGAATGCCGTCAAAATCATCGAAATCATCCTTTAATAGCCAGTTGTACTTAGTTTGATTTTTAACGTATATAAATGTAGGTAGAAAATAGAAGGTGTTGATAAGATAGCGAGGGTCGCAAAGTACCAAGGTCCCCAAAGAGGCTTGACTCCCCACCACTTGGTCGACCCTGATAGATTTATTTATTTTCTACGTTTTTATCGACCTTTTGCAGCTGATATAAAACCCCAAAATATTTTAGATTGTGAGAATTTTTTTCCGGGGGAAATCATAATGATTTACTGATAAAAGTCTTACTAACTCATAGTTTTTTTTGGGGGGGGGAAGAGGGGATTCCTACCTCTCCCAAGAGTATTTGCACGTAAGTGAATATAATGAACCGGACTGGAACACAGCTCTCCAATTTTACAATTTCGAACCGTTATCCATTACACCACCCGCACATCCAAGCTTACAGCACCTTGGTTTTCCCAAGTGGGACACCTATCTAGTTACTGACCAAGCTCGACGTTGTTTAACTTTGCTGATAGTACGAGACCCACACTATTTAAATACTGAAAAAAAGATGCCAGATTTAGCGCTGAGTAATCAGAGAAAGAAATGAAATAATTTCAGTAGTCCAGATATTTTTTTGAACGCATCTTAAATAAAACCATTTTGACTTTTGTCAGTCTGTTTTTAAAAAGAAAAATAATAAAAAGAAAGCATAAAAATCATTGTTTAGAAATCATACAAAATAGTCATTACTTAAATAATATTGTACACTCAAAGAATATTCTTTGTCGATTAACCTTCATTAGCCTCAAACCACGACGATATTTGCAAGAATCAAAAAATATTATTTTTTTAAATATTTTATAATGAGATTCTGTTCATAATATAAATACAGTGTCAAACTGATCCTTAATTTTTAAAGAGTTACCAGTATCTTGTTTTTGTTTACAAATATCGAGTTTGAACCTTTATACAAAGTACAACTTTTATTGCCAACGTGTAACTTAAATTTCATAATTTTTTTTTCTTAAACAATTCTCTGTTTTAATATTTTTGTAAAGTAATTTTATTTTTGTTACCCAAACAAGTACTTGCTAAAATTATTTTGTAAAAGTAATTCACATAAAATATAAAGATCGATTACTTGTTTATTTAAAGTTAATCTGTTTGTAAAAAAAAAAAATCGTCAGAACATATTTACTAAGTATCGAAATAGGATGAACATCCCTAATTTCAATCTTGATATTTGTAAATAAAAAATAAGTACTGATAACCCTTTCAAAAGTCAGGGATCGACTTGACATTATTTATATTATCAGTAGAACTCCACTTTGAACAGGGTAAATAATCAGTATTTTCGATTTTGTTATATGACAATGTCTATCAGAAAGTAATTTACAAAAATATTCCCCAAAATTCCCTATTTTTCGTTTTGATGAGCAGACAAGTTAATTTGTGTAGTGCACTCATTTTTAGCGTGTGAATAATCTTCGTTATCAGTTATCTCCTGTTAATTCCCCTCTCTAAGTTCTCCACCGTCTTTACTAGGTATTGAACTCACACTCTTTGGGTCCTGTCACTGAATTTAACTAACGCCTTTATCTACTGTCATGTGTCCTTGAAGACAGGAGGTAACTGATAACTGACATCCATTAGACATAGCACGTGGAACAAGAATACTCTACGCCAGCGAGTGAAATAAAGGGTTCAGTTCGACATTCCAACCACCTGAAGAAGGCGGGAGCGTACAACGGCCGAAACGTTGTAATAAATATGGCGACAAAGATGAGGACAATAGTCCGAATAATGTAAATCGTGTAAAAGTTTCCGGTGAGAAATAAAGGATCTAACACGATATAGTAAATCAATTTTTCTCGTAGCACACCTAGCAATGGGTTCAATATAATCGTTCTAATTCATGTTAGTGGAAAAGGAGCAAGGAGTTACTCATCCGGGGGTTAGAATTATCTATAAATATGGAAAGCAATAAAAGGTTTGTTAAGATTGTTCAACGTCGTGGCATTTTTTTTGTCTCCTTTCCATCATGGCGAGAATCTCATCTGTCATCTATCCTTTTTTCTTTTCTTCTTCGTCTATTTTCCTTTTGGGGTGATCTTATTTGCTGCTGTTACTAAAGCTTCACTTAGTGTACCCAACTTCGTGTTTCTATTTTCATTTTGTCCATTGTTTCTGCTTTTCACACTGGCGATATATTTCTCCTTCAGAATCGGCTCGTTTAAGAGACTGTCGTATTGCAATTTGGGTGCTGCCTATGGAATCTTCAATTTCCGTAGATTTATTCTCAGTTTATATACAACTGGGAGGTGATCGCTCCAACAGTCGGCAGTTGGACACGTTTTGTACAAGTGCATTCATTTTGTTTCTTTTCTTTGGCTTCTCCATATCCATATTCGTCTTGGGTGTTCTTGGAACTAGCTACTACTCGGCCATTCACCGTACACCATTGGACCCATTTTTCTCCACCTTCATTACGAGTTCCTGGTCCGAATTTGCCAACTATTTCATCATACCTCTCGTCGCATACTCTGGCATTAAGGTCTCCCATGACAATCATAATTTCTTGCATCGAATCCAAGGACAGAACGACGATATTAGA